TACTTACAAAGCATGTAGAGGTCGGTAATTTTTATCATAGGTGTACTTCAACTGTGAGAGACGGAATCTAAAACAAAAATCCAGAAAATCACATTGTATGATTTTTAAGTAATTAATTTGCATTTTATTGCATGACATAAGTATTTGATACATCAGAAAAGCAGAACTTAATATTTGGTACAGAAACCTTTGTTTGCAATTACAGAGATCATACGTTTCCTGTAGGTCTTGACCAGGTTTGCACACACTGCAGCAGGGATTTTGGCCCACTCCTCCATACAGACCTTTTCCAGATCCTTCAGGTTTCGTGGCTGTCGCTGAGCAATACGGACTTTCAGCTCCCTCCAAAGATTTTCTATTGGGTTCAGGTCTGGAGACTGGCTAGGCCACTCCCACTCCAGGACCTTGAGATGCTTCTTACGGAGCCACTCCTTAGTTGCCCTGGCTGTGTGTTTCGGGTCGTTGTCATGCTGGAAGACCCAGCCACGACCCATCTTCAATGCTCTTACTGAGGGAAGGAGGTTGTTGGCCAAGATCTCGCGATACATGGCCCCATCCATCCTCCCCTCAATATGGTGCAGTCGTCCTGTCTCCTTTGCAGAAAAGCATCCCCAAAGAATGATGTTTCCACCTCCATGCTTCACGGTTGGGATGGTGTTCTTGGGGTTGTACTCATCCTTCTTCTTCCTCCAAACACGGCGAGTGGAGTTTAGACCAAAAAGCTCTATTTTTGTCTCATCAGACCACATGACCTTCTCCCATTCCTCCTCTGGATCATCCAGATGGTCATCGGTAAACTTCAGACGGGCCTGGACATGCGCTGGCTTGAGCAGTGGGACCTTGCGTGCACTGCAGGATTTTAATCCATGACGGCATAGTGTGTTACTAATGGTTTTCTTTGAGACTGTGGTCCCAGCTCTCTTCAGGTCATTGACCAGGTCCTACCGTGTAGTTCTGGGCTGATCCCTCACCTTCCTCATGATCATTGATGCCCCACGAGGTGAGATCTTGCATGGAGCCCCAGACCGAGGGTGATTGACCGTCATCTTGAACTTCTTCCATTTTCTAATAATTGCGCCAACAGTTGTTGCCTTCTCACCAAGCTGCTTGCCTATTGTGCTGTAGCTCATCCCAGCCTTGTGCAGGTCTACAATTTTATCCCTGATGTCCTTACACAGCTCTCTGGTCTTGGCCATTGTGGAGAGGTTGGAGTCTGTTTGATTGAGTGTGTGGACAGGTGTCTTTTATACAGGTAACGAGTTCAAACAGGTGCAGTTAATACAGGTAATGAGTGGAGAACAGGAGGGCTTCTTAAAGAAAAACTAACAGGTCTGTGAGAGCCGGAATTCTTACCTATTGGTAGGTGATCAAATACTTATGTCATGCAATAAAATGCAAATTAATTACTTAAAAATCATACAATGTGATTTTCTGGATTTTTGTCTCTCACAGTTGAAGTGTACCTATGATAAAAATTACAGACCTCTACATGTTTTGTAAGTAGGTAAACCTGCAAAATCGGCAGTGTATCAAATACTTGTTCTCCCCACTGTATACACCTGTTCTGAAAGGCCCCAGAGTCTGCAACACCACCAAGCAAGGGGCACCGCCAAGCAAGCTGCACTATGAAGACCAAGAAGCTCTCCAAACAGGCCAGGGACAAAGTTGTGGAGAAGTACAGATCAGGGTTGGGTTATAAAAAAATATCAGAAACTTTGAACATCCCACGGAGCACCATTAAATCCATTATTCAAAAATGGAAAGAATATGGCACCACAACAAACCTGCCAAGAGAAGGCCGCCCACCAAAACTCACGGACCAGGCAAGTAGGGCATTAATCAGAGAGGCAACAAAGAGACCAAAGATAACCCTGAAGGAGCTGCAAAGCTCCACAGCGAAGATTGGAGTATCTGTCCATAGGACCACTTTAAGCCGTACACTCCACAGAGCTGGGCTTTACAGAAGGGTGGCCAGAAAAGGAGTTCGCCAAAAGGCATGTGGGAGACTCCCCAAACATATGGAAGAAGGTACTCTGGTCAGATGAGACTAAAATTGAGCTTTTTGGCCATCAAGGAAAACGCTATATCTGGCGCAAACCTAACACCTCTCATCACCCCGAGAACACCATCCCCACAGTGAAGCATGGTGGTGGCAGCATCATGCTGTTGGGATGTATTTCATCAGCAGGGACTGGGAAACTGGTCAGAATTGAAGGAATTATGGATGGCGATAAATACAGGGAAATTCTTGAGGGAAACCTGTTTCAGTCTTCCAGAGATTTGAGACTGGGACGGAGGTTCACCTTCCAGCAGGACAATGACCCTAAGCATACTGCTAAAGCAACACTTGAGTGCTTTAAGGGGAAACATTTAAATGTATTGGAATGGCCTAGTCAAAGCCCAGACCTCAATCCAATTGAGAATCTGTGGTATGACTTAAAGATTGCTGTACACCAGCGGAACCCATCCAACTTGAAGGAGCTGGAGCAGTTTTGCCTTGAAGAATGGGCAAAAATCCCAGTGGCTAGATGTGCCAAGCTTATAGAAACATACCCCAAGAGACTTGCAGCTGTAATTGCTGCAAAAGGTGGCTCTACAGAGTATTGATTTTGGGGGGGGGGGGGGGGGGGGGGGGGGGGGGGGGGGTGAATAGTTATGCACGCTTATGTTTTCTGTTTTTTTGTCTTATTTGTTGTTTGTTTCACCCAAAAAAATATTTTGCATCTTCAAAGTGGTAGGCATGTTGTGTAAATCAAATGATACAACCCCCCCCCCAAAAAAAAAAAAAAAAAAATTTTAATTCCAGGTTGTAAGGCAACAAAATAGGAAAAATGCCAAGGGGGGTGAATACTTTCGCAAGCCACTGTAAGCGCTGCTCTGCCTTCTTAACAACACAATCAACAAGGCAGGTCCTACAGGCCCTAGTTTTGTCGCACCTAGACTACTGTTCAGTAGTGTGGTCAGGTGCCACAAAGAGGGACTTGGGAAAATTGCAGTTGGCTCAGAGCAGGGCAGCACGGCTGGCCCTTAAAAGTACACGGAGAGCTAACATTAATACTATGCATGTCAGTCTCTCCTGGCTCAGAGTGGAAGAGAGATTGACTTCATCACTGCTTGTTTTTGTTAGAGGTGTTGATAAGCTGAATGTACCGAGGTGTCTGTTTGGAATACTGGCACACAGCTCGGACACCCATGCATACCCCACAAGACATGCCACCAGAGGTCTCTTCACAGTCCCCAAGTCCAGAACAGACTATTGGGAGACACACAGTACTACATAGAGCCATGACTACATGGAACTCTATTCCACATCAGGTAACTAATGCAAGCAGTAGAATCAGATTTTTAAAAACAGGTAAAAATACACCTTATGGGACAACGGGGACTGTGAAGAGACACACACAAGGGTATAGACACATGCATACGCACACATTGTGATATTGTTGTATGGTGGCATTAAACATTTTGTATTGTAGATAGGTAGTGGTGTAATATTGTCATATGATGTACTGTTTTATATTTTGTTGTATATGTAATGTAAGTGCTTTAATATGTTTGGACCCCAGGAAGAGTAGCTGCTGCCTTGGCAGCAGCTAATGGGGATCCCTAATAAATACAAATAGAAGTGGATTTAACAAGTGACCTCAATAAGGGATCATATCTTTCACCTGGATTCACCTAGTCAGTCTATGTCATGGAAAGAGCAGGTGTCTTAATGTTTTGTACATGCAGTGTTTATAAAATCACATGAAAATTACTTTTTGGACAGCACTGGGCCTTTAAATCAGTGCTGATGCTTAATATTTGTGCATTTTGCTATGTAGGCCTACAGCACGCAAAACATACTGTATTGCTGCTACTACATTAGCAGTCTGGAGAAGAGAGAGGGTCAATGAGAAAGAAAGTCACCTGTTGCCATAGCAGCAAACCAAAAGGACAGGTTTCCCATCTCTTCTACTGTTAGAGAGAAGCATTAGCCTGTTACAATGCTTCATTATTTGCATAAATTGCAGCCTGAGCTAAAATTCAGCAATATAGCTAAATTCAGCTCTTAGATTATTAGATAAGTAGTATGTTCGATTCCTAAGTGAAGAAATGTACCATGTTACAGACTACATTTAGACCTGGTGTGCTGCTTTAAACACTTAGTATATGGCACTGGACAGACGTTTTATGTGCAAATTACTTCATGCAAATTCTGATGAATAAATACCAAGGCCTGAAACACCAATGCAATTAATCGATAAAAAAATAAAAATAAATAGGCAAGCATCATAATAACGAATCACACAATTCCCAATCAATATAGGGGCGGTAGGTTGCCTCGACAATGGGGACCCTGGCCGTGACCCCACTCCCTGCGAGTGTCTCAGGGGGAGTTGGGATATACAACAACAACAAAAACATTTTCATTACACAATTGTGTGTAACTGGGCTAATATAAGCGCCACACATATTATTATCATTATTATAGTGTCTTATAAGCTCTGCAAACGTTTAACAGTTCATGAACTTATTATAAATACAACAAAGATTTGAGAACACGTGTGGCTCAGTTGGTAGAGCATGGCACGATTCCCACGGGGAACCAGTACGAACATGTATTCATTCAGTCATCATTACTGTAAATCGCTCTGGATGAGAGTCGTCTGCTAAACGACTAAAATGTATATGTTTATCTTTGAGTCAACTCAGACAACTAGGCGCATGCGTTCTCAAGAAGCAGCCAGGAAGGGGGACTTTTCTAGCAACGGTAGTCTGCCAGTTAGTATAGCAGTCTAGCGGGTCTGACATCCGTCCGTACTGCGTACGAGGGAAGCTATTGCCCGACTTCACATGATCCTTGGCTAATCCTCCAGCCTCTTGGGAACGAAGATAATAACATGTGTGCCGGAATTAGCTAGACACAGACACGATACAACGTTGTGGAGATTTACATACAACAAATTCGCTGCTGTCGCGTTTCCGATACAGGTTCCATCCTCTCGGGTTCGTTGAGGATGAGGTTCCCGACCATCAGACGGTGTCCCGGGGAAGGAGATGGGAAGAAGGAACTCGCTCCACCATTTAGGAACCCTTTTGTGCATGACTTGAGATTCACCCCGCTCGAAAAGGCAAAGGTAAGCGAAAATATTACAACTTGGTGCAACACGTTCACCTGTTTAGTTTAAAAATCGATAGAGACAGGCTAGATTTATATAAGGGTTCGCTAGCCAGCTAACTACCGATCAAGGTATTTAGCTAGCCTAACTGACTAGCAACTAACGTTAGCTAGAAGGCTGGCTACATGTTGCTCACTTGGCTCGCATACTTTAGCTACGAAGTCTTCACAACAAGCTGGAAAAAATATTTGGAACCCGCGCATTACCTTGCACATAAACCACGACACAAAGACAACAATTCGCGTCTTGGCGTGGTTAGGCGTTAGGTAACATAGCTGATAAGCCAGCCACCAATGTTAAGGAATTATTGCGATAGCACAAGACGATACGTCGTTTGCAAAAGGGTCGCAAGAGGCACGAACATCATCACTTGTGATAGCTTTTTTATTCCTGCTCCATCAGCATCTGTGGAGGCTTGTTGCTGAACGTTGGAGGAAAAAAAAATAGTTGGCTAACATTGTACAGGAGGATGACATAGACCAGGGAATTCATGTATCCCACTTGATCCAAGTGTGCAGAGTTAAAGAACCAGACAGTGCAGAGCACTGACTGTCACTATGCCAGCAACTCTTCCGTTGCTTCCTCTGTCAAAAGATGGGGCTGACAGTGCAGTTCCCTGTAGAGCATGGCGCTTCTAACGCCAGGGTTGTGGGTTCGTTTCCCACGGGGGGCAGTATGAACATGTATGCACTAACTGTACGTCGCTCTGGATAAGAGCGTCTGCTAAATGACTAAAATGTAAATGCAGTATGAAGATGGGCTAAAACTGCTTCTCCAATAGAAATCCCCCGAATAACACTCGTAGGCGATGTCATGGCGACGTTGTATAGCTAAGCGCATGCGTAGAAACACGTGTTTGGGGTCTAACGGTCGTCTCGCGCCGAACTGCGCATGCGCAGGCCGTCAACTCAAAGGCACTCCTTCGATATAAAGTTGTTTTTGACGAAAATGAAAACGTGTCACTTTCACAAGATTGGAGTAATAACATGGTCTCGAATCTAGGTTGTGCCTTTCGATTTTGATTAAATTAACAACTAAGGAATAATATTTGACTTCTCATTGACTTGTCAAACTCCGGCCTGGTCTGTTTCGCAAGGCCGGAAGTATCGTGATGTTGCGCCTCTGGGTTTAGAAACTCTGTGGGCACAGTTTACAGCGTCTGGAAGCGAATTCACCGTTCATTTTCTGTATTCAGGGTTCACTGCAACATCGTTTTAAGCTTTGTTTTACTATTGACAGTTATAGCTAATTTCGGAATTGTATATAGATTTGCTCTCCTTAATTATAAGTCATTTGATTTATTCGTTTCAGTCTCTGAATTGTTTAATCAAACTTTTCGCCTCTAGCTCCTGATATCAGGTCATTAAAAACTACAACCTGTCTTCTGAACTAGCCTAGTGCGCTTGTGCGCCCAGCATGCTCTTTTACCCCAGTTTTCCCTGGCTAAACTAGCTGGCTAAACTAGCTGGCTAAACTAGCTGGCTAAACTAGCTGGCTAAACTAGCTGGCTAAACTAGCTGAGATATGATAGTTTGTGTCTTCATTGACAAACTTCATAAATACTGCACCCTCAACTTCATTACCTGGAAATAAACTTCAAAATGATGTATTGTTTTGTTGAATAGTCATGACTATCTGTGGTAAGACGATGGTGGCGAAGGATATCATTGCTACTAAACACAGATCCAAGTTCAGTTTTGAGCTGGGGTTTGAACCGTTTCAGGGAACAAAACCAGAAAATAACTTAATTTTTCAAGGAACAGAAACGGAACCGGGAACGAAAGTGATCCATAGTGCCCTCAAAACTCATCACTAAGCGAAGGACCCTGGGACTAAACACCTCCCTCTGCAACTGGATCCTGGACTTCCTGACGGGCCACCCCCAGGTGGTAAGGGTAGGCAACAACACATCTGCCACACTGATCCTCAACACGGGGGCCCCTCAGGGGTGTGTGCTTAGTCCCCTCCTGTACTCTCTGTTCACCCACGATTGCGTGGCCAAGCACGACTCCCAACACCATCAAGTTTGCAGACGACAACGGTGGTAGGCCTGATCACCGACAACGATGAGACAGCCTATAGGGAGGAGGTCAGAGACCTGGCAGTGTGGTGACAGGACATCAGCCTCTCCCTCAACATCAGTAAGATAAAGGAGATGATCGTGGACTACAGTAAATGGAGGGCCGAGCACACCCCCATCCACGTTGACAGGGCTGTTGTGGAGCAGGTCGAGAGCTTCAGGTTCCTCAGTGTCCACATCACTAAGGATCTATCATGGTCCAAACACACCAACACAGTCGTGAAGAGGGCATGACAACGCCTCTTCCCCCTCAGGAGGCTGAAAATATTTGTAATGGGCCCTCATCCTCAAAAAGTTATACAGCTGCACCATTGAGAGCATCTTGACTGGCTGCATCACCGCCTGGTATGGCAACTGCTCGGCATCCGACCGTAAGGCGCTACAGAGGGTTGTGCGTACCGCCCAGTACATCACTGGGGCCAAGCTTCCTGCCATCCAGGACCTCTATACCAGGCGGTGTCAGAGGAAGGCCCAAAGAATTTACTCCAGCCACCCAAGTCATAGACTGATCTCTCTGCTACTACACGACCTGGGGTGGACCTGGGAATCTATAGTGACCTGGGGTGGTTCTACCTGAATCTATAGTGACCTGGGGTGGTTCTACCTGAATCTATAGTGACATGGGGTGGTTCTACCTGAATCTATAGTGACATCACCTGGGGTGGTTCTACCTGAATCTATAGTGACCTCATCTGGGGTGGTTCTACCTGAATCTATAGTGACCTCATCTGGGGTGGTTCTACCTGAATATATATATAGTGACCTCACCTGGGGTGGTTCTACCTGAATCTATAGTGACCTCACCTGGGGTGGTTCTACCTGAATCTATAGTGACCTCATCTGGGGTGGTTCTACCTGAATCTATAGTGACCTCACCTGGGGTGGTTCTACCTGAATCTATAGTGACCTCACCTGGGGTGGTTCTACCTGAATCTATAGTGACCTCATCTGGGGTGGTTCTACCTGAATCTATAGTGACCTCACCTGGGGTGGTTCTACCTGAATCTATAGTGACCTCATCTGGGGTGGTTCTACCTGAATCTATAGTGACCTCATCTGGGGTGGTTCTACCTGAATCTATAGTGACCTCACCTGGGGTGGTTCTACCTGAATCTATAGTGACCTCATCTGGGGTGGTTCTACCTGAATCTATAGTGACCTCACCTGGGGTGGTTCTACCTGAATCTATAGTGACCTCATCTGGGGTGGTTCTACCTGAATCTATAGTGACCTCATCTGGGGTGGTTCTACCTGAATCTATAGTGACCTGGGGCGGTTCTACCTGAATCTATAGTGACCTCATCTGGGGTGGTTCTACCTGAATCTATAGTGACCTGGGGCGGTTCTACCTGAATCTATAGTGACCTCATCTGGGGTGGTTCTACCTGAATCTATAGTGACATCACCTGGTGTGGTTCTACCTGAATCTATAGTGACATGGGGTGGTTCTACCTGAATCTATAGTGACATGGGGTGGTTCTACCTGGATCTATAGTGACCTGGGGTGGTTCTACCTGAATCTATAGTGACCTGGGGTGGTTCTACCTGAATCTATAGTGACATCACCTGGGGTGGTTCTACCTGAATCTATAGTGACCTCATCTGGGGTGGTTCTACCTGAATCTATAGTGACCTCATCTGGGGTGGTTCTACCTGAATCTATAGTGACCTCACCTGGGGTGGTTCTACCTGAATCTATAGTGACCTCACCTGGGGTGGTTCTACCTGAATCTATAGTGAACTCATCTGGGGTGGTTCTACCTGAATCTATAGTGAACTCATCTGGGGTGGTTCTACCTGAATCTATAGTGACCTGGGGTGGTTCTACCTGAATCTATAGTGACCTCACCTGGGGTGGTTCTACCTGAATCTATAGTGACCTCACCTGGTGTGGTTCTACCTGAATCTATAGTGACCTCACCTGGGGTGGTTCTACCTGAATCTATAGTGACCTGGGGTGGTTCTACCTGAATCTATAGTGACATGGGGTGGTTCTACCTGAATCTATAGTGACAAAACTGTCTGTTCAGGCTGAGTGAGTGAGTTAAATAGATCCCGATCTGCTACATGAGGCCAGACTGATGTATTGATCACCAGATGTTGTTTTAAAGCAGTGTTTCCCTTTACCGTTGTAAAAAATATATATATATATATATATATATATATATATATATATATATATATATATATATATATATATATATATATTTTAAAAATATAAATCATATTTCTTGCAGCGGTGGCAAGAATTTAAAAGAATATACACTACCAGTCAAAAGTTTGGACACCTACTCATTCAAGGGTTTTCCTTTATATTTACTATTTTCTACATTGTAGAATATTTACATTTACATTTACGTCATTTAGCAGACGCTCTTATCCAGAGCGACTTACATTATTTTTTTTCATACACCGAACCCACAACCCTGGCGTTGCAAACGCCATGCTCTATCAACTGAGCTACATCCCTGCCGGCCATTCCCTCCCCTACCCTGGACGACGCTGGGCCAATCGCGCGCCGCCCCATGGGTCTCCCGGTCACGGCCGGCTACGACAGAGCCTGGATTCGAACCAGGATCTCTAGTGGCACAGCTAGCACTGCGATGCAGTGCCTTAGACCACTGCGCCACTCAGGAGATAATAGTGAAGACATCAAAACTATGAAATAACACATATGGAATCATGTAGTAACCAAAAAAGTGTTAAACAAATCAAATTATTTCCACCAGTCTAATGTCCATTGCTCGTGTTTCTTGGCCCAAGCAGGTCTCTTCTTCTTATTGGTGTTCTTTAGTAGTGGTTTCTTTGCAGCAATTCGACCATGAAGGCCTGATTCACACAGTCCCCTCTGAACAGTTGATGTTGAGATGTGTCTGTTACTTGAACTCTGTGACGCATTTATTTGGGCTGCAATTTCTGAGGCTGGTAACTCTAATTAACTTATCCTCTGCAGCAGAGGTAACTCTGGGTCTTCCATTCCTGTGGTGGTCCTCATGAGAGCCAGTTTCATCATAGCGCTTGATGGTTTTTGCGACTGCACTTGAAGAAACTTTCAAAGTTCTTGAAATTGTCCGTATTGACTGACCTTCATGTCTTAAAGTAATGATTGAATGTAATTTCTCTTTGCTTATTTGAGCTGTTCTTGCCATAATATAGAATGGTCTTTTACCAAATATGGCTATCTTCTGTATACCCCCCTACCTTGTCACAACACAACTGATTGGCTCAAACGCATTAAGAAGGAAAGAAATTCCACAAACTAACTTTTAAGCTAACTAACCACAAGCACACTCCGCCAACCCTGATGTTCTAGCAGTGTCTGAATCCTGGCTTAGGAAGGCCACCAAAAATTCTGAAATTTCCATCCCCAACTATAACATTTTCCGTCTAGATAGAACTGCCAAAGGGGGTGGAGTTGCAATCTACTGTAGAGATAGCCTGCAGAGCTCTATCATACTATCCAGGTCTGTGCCCAAACAGTTTGAGCTTCTACTTCTAAAAATCCACCTTTCCAGAAATAAATCTCTCACTGTTGCTGCTTGCTACAGACCCCCCTCAGCCCCCAGCTGTGCCCTGGACACCATATGTGAATTGATTGCCCCCCATCTATCCTCAGAGTTCGTACTGCTTGGTGACCTAAATTGGGATATGCTTAACACCCCGGCCATCCTACAATCTAAACTAGATGCCCTCAATCTCACACAAATTATCAACGAACCTACCAGGTACAACCCTAAATCCGTAAACATGGGCACCCTCATAGATATCATCCTGACTAATTTACCCTCTAAATACACCTTTGCTGTCTTCAACCAGGATCTCAGCGATCACTGCCTTATTGCCTGCGTCCGTAACGGGTCCGCGGTCAAACGACCACCCCTCATCACTGTCAATCGCTCCCAAAAACACTTCAGCGAGCAGGCCTTCCTAATTGACCTGGCCCAGGTATCCTGGATGGATATAGATCTCATTCCGTCAGTAGAGGATGCCTGGTTGTTCTTTAAAAGTAATTTCCTCTCAATCTTAAATAAACATGCCCCATTCAAAAAATACAGAACTAAGAACAGATATAGCCCCTGGTTCTCCTCAGACTTGACTGCCCTTGACCAGCACAAAAACATCCTGTGGCGTACTGCATTAGCATCAAATAGCCCCCGCGATATGCAACTTTTCAGGGAAGTTAGGAACCAATATACACAAGCAGTTAGGAAAGCAAAGGCTAGCTTTTTCAAACAGAAATTTGCATCCTGTAGCACTTACTCCAAAAAGTTTTGGGACACTGTAAAGTCCATGGAAAATAAGAGCACTTCCTCCCAGCTGCCCACTGCACTGAGGCTAGGAAACACTATCACCACCGATAAATCTACAATAATCGAGAATTTCAACAAGCATTTTGCTACGGCTGGCCATGCTTTCCACCTGGCTACCACTACCCCCCGGCCACCAGCTCTGCACCCTCCGCTGCAACTTGCCCATGCCCCCCCCCCCCGCTTCTCCTTCACACAAATCCAGACAGCTGATGTTCTGAAAGAGCTGCAAAATCTGGACCCCTACAAATCAGCTGGGCTAGACAATCTGGACCCTTTCTTTCTAAAACTAGCCACCGAAATTGTCGCAACCCCTATTACTAGCCTGTTCAACCTCTCTTTCGTAACGTCTGAGATCCCCAGAGATTGGAAAGCTGCCGCGGTCATCCCCCTCTTCAAAGGGTGTGACACTCTAGATCCAAACTGTTACAGACCCATATCCATCCTGCCCTGCCTTTCAAAAGTTTTTGAAAGCCAAGTTAACAAACAGATCACCGACCATTTCGAATCCCACCGTACCTTCTCCGCTATGCAATCCGGTTTCCGAGCTGGTCATGGTTGCACTTCAGCCACGCTCAAGGTCCTAAACGATATTATAACCGCGATCGATAATAGACAGTACTGTGCAGCCGTTTTCATTGACCTGGCCAAGGCTTTCGACTCTGTCAACCACCGCATTCTTATTGGCAGACTAAATAGCCTTGGTTTCTCAAATGACTGCCTCGCCTGGTTCACCAACTACTTCTCTGATAGAGTTCAATGTGTCAAATCAGAGGGCCTGTTGTCTGGACCTATGGCAGTCTCTATGGGGGTGCCACAGGGTTCAATTCTTGGGCCGACTCTTTTCTCTGTGTATATCAATGACGTCGCTCTTGCTGCTGGTGACTCTCAGATCCACCTCTACGCAGACGACACCATTTTGTATACATCTGGCCCTTCATTGGACACTGTGTTAACAAACCTCCAAACGAGCTTCAATGCCATACAACACTCCTTCAGTAGCCTCCAACTGCTCTTAAACACTAGTAAAACTAAATGCATGCTCTTCAACCGAACGCTGCTTGCACCCGCCCACCCGACTAGAATCACTACTCTCGATGGGTCTGACCTAGAGTATGTGGACAACTACAAATACCTAGGTGTCTGGTTAGACTGTAAACTCTCCTTCCAGACTCACATTAAGAATCTCCAATCCAAAGTTAAATCTAGAATCGGTTTCCTATTTCGCAAACAAAGCCTCCTTCACTCATGCTGCCAAACATGCCCTCGTAAAACTGACTATCCTACCGATCCTTGACTTCGGCGATGTCATTTACAAAATAGCCTCCAACACTCTACTCAGCAAATTGGATGTAGTCTATCACAGTGCCATCCGTTTTGTCTCCAAAGCCCCATATACTACCCACCATTGTGACCTGTACGCTCTTGTTGGCTGGTCCTCACTACATATTCGTCGCCAAACCCACTGGCTCCAGGCCATCTATAAATCACTGCTAGGCAAATCCCCGCCTTATCTTAGCTCATTGGTCACCATAGCAACACCCACCCGTAGTATGCGCTCCAGCAGGTATATCTCACTGGTCATCCCCAAAGCCAACACCTCCTTTGGCTGCCATTCCTTCCAGTTCTCTGCTGCCAATGACTGGAACAAATTGCAAAAATCTCTGAAGCTGGAGACACTTATCTCCCTCACTAACTTTAAGCATCAGTTGTCAGAGCACCTTACCGATCACTGCACCTGTACACAGCCCATCTGAAATTAGCCCGCCCAACTACCTCATCCCTATATTGTTATTTATTTTGCTCATTTGTACCCCAGTATCTCTATTTGCACATCATCTCTTGCACATCTAGCATTCCAGTGTTAATACTAATTGTAATTAGTTTGCACTATAGCCTATTTATTGCCTTACCTCCATAACTTGCTACATTTGCACACACTGTATATATATTTATTTATGTTGTATTTTTGACTTTGTTTTGTTTTACCCCATATGTAACTCTGTGTTGTTGTTTTTATCGCACTGCTTTGCTTTATCTTGGCCAGGTCGCAGTTGTAAATGAGAACTTGTTCTCAACTGGCTTACCTAGTTAAATAAAGGTTAAATAAAAAAGAAATAAAAAAGAAGGCACACCTGTTAATTGAAATGCATTCCATGTGACTACCTCATGAAGCTGGTTGAGAGAATGCGAAGAGTATGCAAAGCTATCATCAAGGCAAAGGGTGGCTATTTGAAGAATCTCAAATATAACATATATTTTGATTTAACACTTTTTTGTTTACTACATGATTCCATATGTGTTATTTCATAGTTTTGAGGTCTTCACTATTATTCTACAATGTAGAAAATAGTAAAAATAAAGTGGAAACCCTTGAATGAGTAGGTGTGTCCAAACTTTTGACTGGTACTGATATATATTACTGAACACAAATATAAACGCAACATGTGAAGTGTTGGTCCCATGTTTCATGAGCTGAAATATAATATCCCAGACATTTCCATACGCACAAAAAGCTTATTTCTCTCAAATTCTGTTCACAAATTTGTATACATCCCTGTTAGTGAGCATTTCTCCTTTGCCAAGATAATCCATCCACCTGACAGTTGTGGCATATCAAGAAGCTGATTTAAACAGCATGATCATTAGACAGGTGCACCTTGTGCTGGGGACAATAAAAGGCCACTCTAAAATGTGCAGTTTTTTTTCACACAACGCAATGCCACAGATGTCTCATGTTTTGAGGGAGCGTGCAATTGGCATGCTGACTGCAGGAATGTCCCAACAGAGCTGTTGCCAGATAATTTAATGTTAATTTCTCTACCATAAGCCGCCTCCAACGTTGTTTTTGAGAATATGGCAGTACATCTAACCGGCCTCACAACCACAGATCACGTGTAACCACGCCAGTCCAGGACCTCCACATCCGGCTTCTTCACCTGCGGGATCGTCTGAGACCAGCCACCTGGACAGCTGTATTTCTGTCTGTAATAAAGCCCTTTTGTAGGGAAAAACTCATTCTCAATTGCTGGGCCTGGCTCCCCAGTGGGTGGTCCTATGCCAACCCATGGCTGCGCCTCTGCCCAGTCATGTGAAATCCATAGATTAGGGCCTAATTAATTTATTTCAATTGACTGATTTCCTTCCATGTACTGTAACTCAGTCAAATATTTCTTATTGTTGCATGTTGCGTTTTTATATTTTTGTTCAGTATATATAATAGGCCACGGTTAAATGAATATAGGAGAAACAGTGGTGTGTATGTGTGCAGCACAGTAGTCGTGATATCAGAAAGATAAATGTTGACTTAAGATAAGCGCTGAAAGCCAGACATCATAAAAGGTGCTGGAGATAAACTCTTGCTGACTGTTTGACTTCTGAACAATAGTAGATAAGTCTAGAAACCATATTGTACGTGTGCAGCAGCCTCAAAACCTTTTCTTGGGGGTTGGGAAAAGGAGATGATCTCATTCTCATGTTATCAGTAATATCTCTCGTCTATCCAAGCTGTTCCTGTCGATCTAAATCTCTCTTCTCCATCTTTGTCTCAATTCAGATAGCGTTGATGACGGTGACTCTGTTCCCCATCCGGTTGTTCCTGGCAGCCTTCATGATGCTGCTGGCCTGGCCCTTCGCCTTCATCGCCTCTGTGGGACGCAACGAGATGGTGGTGGAATCCCAGTCCTTATGGAGGAAGTATGTATGCTAACATAACCCATACCTCTATAACCTTTACCCTTTAACCCTCTGACCCTAACCCCAACTCTCTGTGGGACGCAACAAGACGGTGGTGGAACCACAGTCTCTATGGAGAAGGGACATAGCGCTTATTAGGGGTGTAACGATTCGTTTTAACAACGATTCGATTTGTATCACGATTCGTGGTTGTCGATAAGATTCAAGGACGATATTGGTTCATTTAGAACGATACGATCCGAAACGATTCAGTGACTTGAAATCGATTCAGTAACCTTTTAGCCAAAAATTCAACCAGTGTGACTGAAATAAATACCTGGATACTGGACAGTGCAGGTGAAGTTTCCTAGATTCCTGTTTCTTGTAAGGACCGCAATGGTGGCTTGATAATTTCTCGCTTGTCGGCTTCTCCTCTGTCGTCCGCCATGCTATGTTTTGTTGTCTTTGCGCCTTTGCGCTGCTGCTGGCGCGGGGCGATGACGTCACGGATAGGCAGACTGAATCGAGTAATGTTTAAAGCCTTTATCATTAAAAGTGCTAAGAAAAAACATCCATATAAAGTCTGACGTGCTTAAATCCAATGGGTTATTTCCTAGTATCGATACAATCGATTTATTACATTTTAAAACGATGTTAGATTGATATATGTTGTCCAAAAGGCCAACTCGCCGAGCACAGATCGATGTAGTTGGATCATAGGAATATAAATCGATACATCGATGTAGTAGATGGATAGTTACACCCCTAGCGCTTATATAACCCAAGCATTAACCATAACATTACCTTTAAGAAAATATTAAACAACATCTCATGGAGCAACGGGGACTGTGAGGGGACAGACACACTCTATCACACACACACACTCTAACAGACACACACCAACAGACACTCTTAACAGACACACACTAACAGACACACACTAACAGACACACTCTATCACACACAGACACACTATCACACACACACACTCTATCACACACACACACTAACACGCACAGACACACTCTATCACACACACACACACTAACAAACACACACACACACACACTAACAAACACACACTCTAACAGACACACTCTATCACACAGACACACACACACACACACAGACACACTCTAACACACACACACAGACACACTCTAACAGACACACACTAACAGACATACACCAACAGACACACACTAACAGACACACTCTAACAGACACACTCTAACAGACACACACTAACAGACACACACTAACAGACACACTCTATCACACACAGACACACTCTAACAGACACACTCTAACAGACACACACTCTAACAGACACACTCTAACACACACACTCTAACAGACATTATTTTTGTAGTTGTATTGTTTGTGTTATTATGATGTATTTGTGTATTGTTGTGTATGTCATTGTAATTGTGTGGCTGTCCTTGTCTATCAGTCTATCAGTGTTTTGTTACTTGTCATGTTTTGTGTTTTTTGTGGACCCCAGGAAGAATAGCTGCTGCTTCTGGAGAAAAAAAATGGGGTCCCACATAAACAAATAAGAATGTAACAAATAGGAATGAAACCTAACATTAACCCTAACCTTCTGTGGTTCTCTCTGAGATACATTAACCCTAACATTACCTTTCAATTAAAAAAACTGAGACACTATAACCACTGTAGTATCTCTAACCCTTTCCTCTCTCTGTAGTAGTGTCTCTAACCCTTTCCTCTCTGTAGTAGTGTCTCCAACCCTTTCCTCTCTGTAGTAGTGTCTCCAACCCTTTCCTCTCTCTGTAGTAGTGTCTCTAACCCTTTCCTCTCTGTAGTAGTGTCTCCAACCCTTTCCTCTCTGTAGTAGTGTCTCCAACCCTTTCCTCTCTGTAGTAGTGTCTCTAACCCTTTCCTCTCTGTAGTAGTGTCTCTAACCCTTTCCTCTCTGTAGTAGTGTCTCTAACCCTTTCCTCTCTCTGTAGTAGTGTCTCTAACCCTTTCCTCTCTGTAGTAGTGTCTCTAACCCTTTCCTCTCTGTAGTAGTGTCTCCAACCCTTTCCTCTCTGTAGTAGTGTCTCCAACCCTTTCCTCTCTGTAGTAGTGTCTCCAACCCTTTCCTCTCTGTAGTAGTGTCTCCAACCCTTTCCTCTCTGTAGTAGTGTCTCTAACCCTTTCCTCTCTGTAGTAGTGTCTCTAACCCTTTCCTCTCTGTAGTAGTGTCTCTAACCCTTTCCTCTCTGTAGTAGTGTCTCTAACCCTTTCCTCTCTGTAGTAGTGTCTCTAACCCTTTCCTCTCTCTGTAGTAGTGTCTCTAACCCTTTCCTCTCTGTAGTAGTGTCTCTAACCCTTTCCTCTCTCTGTAGTAGTGTCTCTAACCCTTTCCTCTCTGTAGTAGTGTCTCTAACCCTTTCCTCTATGTAGTAGTGTCTCTAACCCTTTCCTCTCTGTAGTAGTGTCTCTAACCCTTTCCTCTCTCTGTAGTAGTGTCTCTAACCCTTTCCTCTCTGTAGTAGTGTCTCTAACCCTTTCCTCTCTGTAGTAGTGTCTCTAACCCTTTCCTCTCTGTAGTAGTGTCTCTAACCCTTTCCCCTCTCTGTAGTAGTGTATCTAACCCTTTCCTCTCTCTGTAGTAGTGTCTCTAACCCTTTCCTCTCTGTAGTAGTGTCTCTAACCCTTTCCTCTCTGTAGTAGTGTCTCCAACCCTTTCCTCTCTATGTAGTAGTGTCTCCAACCCTTTCCTCTCTGTAGTAGTGTCTCCAACCCTTTCCTCTCTGTAGTAGTGTCTCTAACCCTTTCCTCTCTGTAGTAGTGTCTCCAACCCTTTCCTCTCAGTAGTAGTGTCTCCAACCCTTTCCTCTCTGTAGTAGTGTCTCTGCAGACTATAGCCAATTATAATTTTTTGATTTTTGCCTCTCTAGATGTCAATGTCTATATGTCTTTAAATATACACAGAGTGTACAAAACATTAAGAACACCTTCCTAATGTTTAGTTGCCCCCTCCCCTGAACAGCCTCAATCTGCCGGGGCATGGACTCTACAAGGTGTCGAAAGCGTTTTCAAAGGGATGCTGCCCCATGTTGATGCAAATGCTTCCCACAAATTGTGTCAAGTTGTCTGGATGTCCTTTGGGTGGTTGACCATTCTTGATACACACGAGAAACTGTTGAGCGTGAAAACCCCAGCAGCGTTGCAGTTCTTGACACAAACCTGGCACCTACTACCATACCCCGTTCAAAGACACTTAAATATTTTGTCTTGCCCATTCACCCTCTGAATGGCACACGTACAAAATCTCTTGAGACAATGTCTCAATTGTCTCAAGGCTTAAAACTCCTTCTTTAGCCTGTCTCCTCCCCTTCATCTACACTGATTTGAAGTGGATTTAACAAGTGACATCAATAAGGGATCATAGCTTTCACCTGGATTCACCTAGTCAGTCTGTCATGGAAAGAGCAGGTGTTCCTAATGTTTTGTACACTCAGTGTATTTTAGTCTGTTTGAATTCATTAGTTTCTATTTCTGGTCATTAATTAGGCTACTTAACTGTTGAATAGAAGGTAGTGTCGTGTGTTGCCTCAGCCAGATAGTGTGTCAATGTTTGACGCCTGCCTGAGTTAGTCCCCTGTGGATTGGAGAAGCTGCTGGTGACTCCTCTCCTCCTCTTCTGGAGATGTGTGGTCCTCTGCCTGCCTGCCTGCCAGCCAGCCAGCCAGCCAGCCAGCCAGCCAGCCATGTTGTTCTTTGGAGTTGTTAGCTGCTCGTTTGCTGTATCCTCTGTCTGGAAGAGTGTCTGCTTGGCTTGTTAGCTGAAGGGTCATTATGAAATAGGGATGCACATTTCAGTCAGTTTTGTAGCCGACTAACAGACCCTCATTAACTGGTCAGTTTTGCTGCTGACTAACAGACCCTCATTAACTGGTCAGTTTTGCTGCTGACTAACAGACCCTCATTAACTGGTCAGTTTTGCTGCTGACTAACAGACCCTCATTAACTGGTCAGTTTTGCAGCCGACTAACAGACCCTCATTAACTGGTCAGTTTTGCTGCTGACTAACAGACCCTCATTAACTGGTCAGTTTTGCAGCCGACTAACAGACCCTCATTAACCGGTCAGTTTTTCCAAACAGTAAAATGAGATGACCAACAGAAAATACTGCACGCATACAAGGAAGGAACATTTTTATTAAGAGCTTCATGGAAACATGCAACAATAGCAAGACTACCGTCTTACAGTCAAAAGGTCTGTTATTTAACATGCAACAATAGCAAGACGACCGTCTTACAGTCAAAAGGTCTGTTATTTAACATGCAACAATAGCAAGACTACCGTCTTACAGTCAAAAGGTCTGTTATTTAACATGCAACAATAGCAAGACTATCGTCTTACAGTCAAAAGGTCTGTTATTTAACATGCAACAATAGCAAGACTACCGTCTTACAGTCAAAAGGTCTGTTATTTAACATGCAACCACTGTAATGAAGCAGCTAATAAAACGTCATTTTCAAACATTTGCCAAAATGCGATTAGCGGGAAAACACTGTTCTAAACAGCGCACCTAATGCGAGCGGTCCAGAAAGAGGGGGGAATCTAATAGCAACAACTATGATGGGGTTGCTATGACTAGGATTGTGCCTTTTGGCTTCTGGACAACAAAATAAAGTATGTGAAAACAGGAGAGAAATGCTGGTTAGTGCCATGAGGAAGTCTCTATAAAATAATTGCCTCCACGCTTCCATGGTTGGATTTTGGCAAGGCTACTTTGAAACAAGGTCAGACTTGCCTCAGTATTTGAAGTAAAGTAAAAACCATTCAGGTTTCAAACAATTATACTGCCTCAAGCTCACATTACATTATACTGCCTCAAGCTCACATTACAGTATACTGCCTCAAGCTCACATTACATTATACTGCCTCAAGCTCACATTACGTTATACTGCCTCAAGCTCACATTACGTTATACTGCCTCAAGCTCACATTACATTATACTGCCTCAAGCTCACATTACATTATACTGCCTCAAGCTCACATTACGTTATACTGCCTCAAGCTCACATGACATTATACTGCCTCAAGCTCACATTACATTATACTGCCTCAAGCGCACATTACATTATACTGCCTCAAAGCTCACATGACATTATACTGCCTCAAGCTCACATTACATTATACTGCCTCAAGCGCACATTGTAAAGTGGTAGGTGACGCGCTGATAGCCTGCATACCATCAAAACAGTGTTTATCACACAATTGCATTTAGAATTGTTATTTGTTGCGCAATGACTTGGCTTACAAGATCACATCTTTCACTCAAGTACCAGCTTTTTGAAGAGCTGCTCTCGTGCTGTCTGGAGAAGAATGGTTGAAGGGACTCTCCTGTTGTGGTGTCTGCTCAATGTCTGGAGAAGAATGGTTGAAGGGACTCTCCTGTTGTGGTGTCTGCTCAATGTCTGGAGAAGAATGGTTGAAGGGACTCTCCTGTTGTGGTGTCTGCTCAATGTCTGGAGAAGAATGGTTGAAGGGACTCTCCTGTTGTGGTGTCTGCTCAATGTCTGGAGAAGAATGGTTGAAGGGACTCTCCTGTTGTGGTGTCTGCTCAATGTCTGGAGAAGAATGGTTGAAGGGACTCTCCTGTTGTGGTGTCTGCTCAATGTCTGGAGAAGAATGGTTGAAGGGACTCTCCTGTTGTGGTGTCTGCTCAATGTCTGGAGAAGAATGGTTGAAGGGACTCTCCTGTTGTGGTGTCTGCTCAATGTCTGGAGAAGAATGGTTGAAGGGACTCTCCTGTTGTGGTGTCTGCTCAATGTCTGTAGAAGAATGGTTGAAGGGACTCTCCTGTTGTGGTGTCTGCTCAATGTCTGGAGAAGAATGGTTGAAGGGACTCTCCTGTTGTGGTGTCTGCTCAATGTCTGGAGAAGAATGGTTGAAGGGACTCTCCTGCACATTGTACTGTCTATCGTCTAAATAAACAACATTGTTTGGTTCTGTCTGTCCTCTAAATAACTAAATGTAACGAATGTCTCCCTCCAGGTTTGTGGACATTGCTCTGAGGACAATCATGCGGGTCATGTGGTTTGCAGGAGGTTTCCATTGGATGACGGTGAAGGGGCGCCAGGCGCTACCGGCGGAGGCTCCTATCCTAACCCTGGGACCCCACTCCTCCTACTTCGACGCTATCCCCGTCACCATGTCCATGGCCTCCATCGTCATGAAGGCAGAGAGCAAGGACATCCCTGTCTGGGGCAGTGAGTAGCATTCTCTATGTCCCTCTGTCTCACTGTCTATTTCTCTCTTGTTATCTCTGTCTGTGTCCTTGTCTCTCTCTCTCTCCCTCTGTCTGTTTTCATTCAATTTCATTCAAATAGCTTTATTGGCATGGGAAACAAGTTTACATTGGCAAAGCTAGTGAAATAGTTTATTTCACTTTTGTTTATTATCTATCGGAAATGAACAGTAAACATTACACAAAAGTTTACTCTCTTTCTGTCTGACTGTCTCTTTCCCTCGATCTCGCTCTCTCTCTCTTTCTTTCTCTCTCTCTCTCTCTCTTGCACAACCCCAATTCAATCTGTCGCAACCCTGTAGCTCAGTTGGTAGAGCATGGCGCTTGCGAGAGTGCTAGAGAAACAGCTGGAGAGAGAGCACTAGAGAAACAGATAGAGAGAGAGCACTAGAGAAACAGATAGAGAGCACTAGAGAAACAGAGAGAGAGAGAGCACTAGAGAAACAGAGAGAGAGAGAGCACTAGAGAAACAGAGAGAGAGAGAGCACTAGAGAAACAGAGAGAGAGAGAGCACTAGAGAAACAAAGAGAGAGTGCTAGAGAAACAGAGAGAGAGAGAGTGCTAGAGAAACAGCTGGAGAGAGAGCGCTAGAGAAACAGAGAGGAGAGAGTGCTAGAGAAACAGAGAGAGAGAGAGAGTGCTAGAGAAACAGAGAGAGAGAGAGAGCTAGAGAAACAGCTGGAGAGAGAGAGTTCTGTCACCAACCAAGGAGGGCCTACAGCAGCACCTAGATCTTCTGCACAGTAAATCTCAGTAAGACAAAAATAATGGTGTTCCAAAAAAGGTCCAGTTGCCAGGACCACAAATACAAATTCCAT